GGCTGGAGCTGGGCCTGCCCCGCGCTCGAGCCAGCCCGTGGCTTCTCACCCTTCTGGTTTTCTCGTCCCTCGTTGGTTTGCAGGTTAGCGTCGTCGCGGCCGCTTCTCCGAGCGGTGTCCAGGGCAAGGGAGCCCCTCCCCGGGGACCCGTCAGCCCATCGGGCTCCTGAAGGAAGGCAAGCGCTGCCAGCTCCCACCCCAAAACGCTCAAGAAGCGAAGCAGACGAAATTGGTGCCGTTGGAACTACTGTGAAATCGAGGCAGCTGGGCTTGCTTAAATTAAGCACAAATACTGGTTTGTTAGGAAAAAAAAAAACAATCAGGGAATACTGGGTCTTGTTAATGGAAAACTCAAAAGTGCTCCATTAACTTAAAGGAGTTTATAGTGTAAATGCCATATTTACAAATACATACAAGGAATAGTACCGGCTCTAAATTCCCAAATAAGCTAGTTTTTTAACCAACTGAAGGGAATTCGGAATTTTAAAGTAAGCCTTAGGAAACAGTGCCTGAAAATGTAGCAGCTTTCTTTTAAGAAAATTTTGACTTGAAACGACAAATTTTCAGTATTTTAGCTGGGGAAACGGTTCTTTCCCTGAGATTACTCTGAACGACCTACTTGAATTGGTGGAAATAAGATGACTTGGAACGATCAGGAAAATCTCATCACCCCAATAGGAGGCAGCTCGATGTTTCTAACTCTATCTCTCTCCCTTCCTCTCTGTAAAAAATCAATAAAATATATTTTAAAAAAAAAAAAGAAAATTTTGACTTGAAAACGACAAATTTTCAGTATTTTAGCTGGGGAAACGGTTCTTTCCCTGAGATTACTCTGAATGACCTACTTGAATTGGTGGAAATAAGATGACTTGGAACGATCAGGAAAATCTCGTCACCCCAATAGTTTGTTCTTTTGAGATACAAATTGTTACGTAAAGGAAGGAAAATCCTGTGGCTATCACAATTTCATCCAAATCCCTATCTCTTAAGACGGCCATCCATCCTTAGGATGAAATTTAATGTAATTCTGCCATCTATGTCTTGCTGCATTTTCTAAATGTTTCATAGTTTACTGATCTGAGTGTTTCTGACACCAATGGTGGGGCTATGAAGTATAATAAATTATGCATTCATGTTCCTTTTTAATTTTTTAAAATTTATTGATTGATATTTTTTAGGGAGAGGAATATTGATTTGTTGTTCCACTTATTTATGCATTCATTGGTTGATTCTTGTATGTGCCCTGACCAAGGATCAAACCCCCAATCTTGGCTTATTGGGAGGATGCTCTAATCAAGTGAGCACCCAGCCAGGGCTTGTATCCTCTCCCCACCCTATATTTTATTTTCCCCCATCACCATGTAGTCCCCTCCCACCCCATATTCCCTCTTCCACCTCCACCCCTCTTTTTTTTTCTCTCTCTCTCCCCTTTTTCAACATATTCCATTAATTTTCTACAGAGAGGAAGGGAGAGAGACAGAGAGCCAGAAACATCGATGAGAGAGAAACATCAATCAGCTGCCTCCTGCACATCCCCCACTGGGGATGTGCCCGCAACCAAGGCACATGCCCCAGATCGGAATCGAACCCGGTACCCTCCAGTCTGCAGGCCGATGCTCCATCCACTGAGCCAAACCGGTTTTGGCAACCCCTCTTTTTTTAATTTTTAAAATATATTTTATTGATTTTTTACAGAGAGGGAGAGAGAGGGATAGAGAGTCAGAAACATCGATGAGAGAGAAACATTGATCAGCTGCCTCCTGCAAACTCCCCACTGAGGATGCTCCTGCAACCAAGGCACATGCCCTTGACTGGAATCGAACCTGGGACCCTTGGGTCCGCAGGCTGACGCTCTATCCACTGAGCCAAACCGGTTAGGGCATCCATCCCTCTTTTTTAACATAAGCCTAAAGGAATAATTTGGAAAGACAAATTGCATAATCAGCATACAAATCTTTTTCTCAGCTCTTCACCAGCTCCTCCTCTCCCTCTCTCATTCCTCTCCTCTCCCTACATTGGTTATTTAACTCTGGAATTACTATAACTATTCTGGAGAGACTTCAACTTGAGTTATATCAGAACCTCAGGAAGACAAAAAGAGTAAAATATTTCTGGGATCAAATAAAAATCACCTAAAACAAAACATACCAATTGTGCATGCGCCAAACCAGAAATTACTTTGTTACTCCAAAGTCAAACGTACAATCAGTCATTCTCTGATCAAGCTAGAGGAACTATGCTAGGATTTATTTTCTGTAAGGGGCTGAGTGGATGCATTTAATGCATCCTAGTAAAACCAATGCCTCCAGAGAAATAAATACATAATCACTTCAAGAGACATAATAATTTTGGTAAACAAGGTAGAAATGGATTATCAAGAGCCATAGAAGTATTTATGTACTTTGACCCAGTAAGTCCTCTTGAAAGTTTATTTTAAAGAATTTCAAAACACAAAAGATGTGTGAATTTTGGTGATTTATATCACTTACAAATATATATATAAAACCAAAAAATACATATTACATATATATGTAACAACAACAAAAATTTCTCAACCCCCACACTATTAGCATTTTGGGCCTGATAATTCTATGTTGTGAGAGCTATCCTATGCATTGCAGGATGTTTAGCAGAATCCCTGGCCTCTGTCCACTAAATGCTAGTAATTCTCAACAATTGTGACAACCAAAAATGTCTCTAGATACTCCCAATGTCCCCTAGGGGGCAAAATCGCCTCTGTTAAGAGCCACTGTCATAGATAGATGTTCCACCACAGAGGAATAGAGGAATGGAGTAGTACAGTGGAACCATGGTTCTTGAACTTCATTCATTCCAGAAGGCTATTCAAGAAGTGAGTTGTTTGAAAACCGAATCATTTTTCCACATTAGAAATAATGTAAATTGAGTTAATCTGTTCCAGGCCCCCAAATGAGTCTCTATTTTAACCTTTCTCATATCAAACCACATCCTATTAGCCTTAAAAAAAGAGTTTTTCATATATCACAGCCTCCCAGATGCTATCACAGGCTAACTGCTTTTTGTTTATACAATCAATAACAGTTTTTCTACCTATTCATTTGCCTGTGATTATTGTTTTGTGAGCACTTTCACACCTTAGCATCATTAACACTATTGTGATAGCCTCCTTATGTTTTAAAATTGTGCTAATCCTCGATTTCTGCCAGCAACAAAAGCATTATCTCCTTTGTTTATTGCCTGAGAATCCCTGAAAGGGTTGTCAGGTCGAATACTGAAGTTTTGGTCAACAACTGAGACATTTTTCTGTGAACAATTTGGTTGTGAACCGAATTGTTTGAGATGGGAGACATTCGAGAAATGAGGTTTGACTGTAAATATAGTATCAATAAGATACTATTCACCTATTTAGAAGAACCATGAAGACATAAGAACATGGAAAAGTTTTTCAAGAAGTTTTAAAATGTTCACCTTTTGCACCCATAATTGTATTTCCAGAAAATAATCACGAGGGACATTTTGAATAATCACCCAAAAAAAGGAAATAAATGTCCTACAGCTAGAGAGGCTTATGTAGTCGTGAAAAGGTAACTATATAAAAAAAGAAAAGATAACTAGCAAAATTTTATAAAGATAAAATTTTGTTTAAAAGCATCCATTTTGTAAAAAATACGTATCAATATTTGTGTAGAGAAAAGACTGGCAGGAATGAGGAGTGTTATTCTGACAGCCAGAAAGTTACCCTTTAGTATGTTACCACATAATTTTCCAATTTAAAGGTAAACCGGCTATCTACCTGAAACTAATACAAAGTAATATTGAATGTAAACTGTAATTGAAAAAAAATTTAAGAGTAAACCAAAAATTATGTATTTCTACAATTAGGTAAAGAAATATATGTGTGTAACAGAAAAAGAGATGTATGTGTGGATAAAGATTAGAAATTAAAATTCAGAAATAAGTGTTGTGTTGTGGTAATATAAGTGAATTAATTAATTTCAAAAAACAAAAAAGAAAAAATAGGCCCTAGCAAGATAACTCAATTGGTTAGAGCATCGTCCCAAAACACCAAGGTTTCAATCCCTGGTCAGGGCACATGTAAGAATCAACCAATGAATGCATAAATAGATGGAACAATAACTTGATCTTTCTCTCTCCCTTTCTCTTTCTTTCTCTCTCTCTCTCTCCCTCCCTCTCTCTCTCCTTTCCTCTCTAAAATCAATTAATAAAAATTGTTTTAAAAATTAAAAATAAAGCAAAATAACCTAAAGGGAAAAAATGTTTCACTGATGTTTTAAATACATATGTAGGTACATACATATGTACACGAACATGAATAAGAACATGTTTGTGAAAACCTGCTTTATAGTCCTAGTAATGTATAACTAGCCACATAAAACTTCAAGTTGAGAGATACAATTATAAATGTGACAAATTTCTTATTGGAGGGTAAAAACTGCTCTATCCCTGTGGTTCTCAAACTTTAGTGAACTTCGGAATTATCTTAGAAGGTTTGTTAAACCACTGGTTCCTAGGCTCTATCCCCAGAACTTCTAATTCAATAGTTTGGGATGGGGCCCTTGGTATTTGTACTAGAAGTACGAATTTCCAAGTGAAAGTGATATTGTTGCCCAGGGACCATCCTTTAAGAGCTATCCTTCCAACCATCTTCTCTACCTCAGGATGAGAGTAATCAATCACAAACAAGAGCTTGAAGAGTACGGACGTTATCTTATTAGGCACAACAGCAAAATACAAACTTGGTTTAATTTGTTTTCATTTGTTTTATGAAATAAACAGCCTCTAGTCACTGGGCCATACCTGAACCCAGCAATGGACAGAGGAGTAGGACTGGAGCATTAATGGGGTTAGAAGAACTGGAAATTGTCATTCAAAAGTAGCTGCATGACAGACACTCAGGAGCCCTGATTTAGGCATTTTTGGGACTCTCATGACAAGTGCTATGTTACTATTGCATCAGTAAGTCAATGAACTCTTATTGACCATTGACTCTCAGGACTTTGTTATTTGCTGAGACTATGAAGATGAAAAGCGAAAATACCTGTCCTCAAAAAGCTTACAGAACCATTTTCCAAGTATGTCTGTACAACATGTATGTTAATATCCAGTAAATGTATAGTATTATGGAACAGCACTTCTCTTTTACACTATAGCTGACACAAAGTGCCTATACCAGGTTCTTGACTACGACTGCTGGCACAATCTTGGGTCCCACCTTTGCCATGACCCAAGGAGAGAAAGCTGGAAGGTTTTCACATCACCATTCTGCCTCCAGATTTCCTGAAGTTCAGGGACTTAGTATTTATTCTTCCCTCCCC